GTAGACCTGGCCCCAGACTCAGGCCACAAATCACTATCAGCACTCTGCGAGTTACCAAGCCACTGCTGACATGCTGCAATTAGAAGCAGCCCTCTTAAAAGGTCAGTGGAAAGCAGCAAAGACCTAGGAACGGGACTACAGCCCCTCCTACTGTCAGTGCTGGGAGCAGGAATGACTGATGGGGACATGAGTTTCCCAGACTAAAGAAACTTGTCACACTCTTGTAGTAGGGTGTCCTACAGAGACTTCTACAGAGCAACCATGAAGGAAGCTGTATGTTCCACCTTCCAAACGGAATACAGAGGGCTTGTCTACACTACCGCTTAAGTCGATGAACCTAACATTGCTCAAGGGTGTGAAAAAACCACCCCCTTCAGCAACATAAGTTACATCAACTTAAAGCTCTCCCACCAACAGAGCTTCTGCCTCTCGTTGAGGTGGAGTAATTGCATTGATGGGAGAGCACTCTCCTGTCAACATAGGAGACGCACTACATGCTGCGCCGATGTAGTTCGGTAGTGAAGACAAGCCCAGAGATTGTCAGACTGGGTCAGACCCAAGCTCCATCTAGTCCCGTATCCCGTCCCAGGCAGTGGTCAGAACCAGATGCTTCAGTGGAAGACACAAGAATCACTAGAGTTGTGGGTAGACACGGGATGATCAGTCTGCCACATAGATCTTGACCTAACACCTGAAGCACAAAGTTTAATATCTCTTCCAAATTTTCTGTCATCATTAATTATAACAATTCTGGATATTCTTGAGATCCATATAGAGTAGAACCTCAGCGTTACGAACCCCCATGTTGTGAACTGACTGGTCAACCACACACCTCATTTGAAACCAGAAGTATGCAATCAGGCAGCAGCAGAGAGAAAAAAAGAACAAATACAGTACAGTACTGTGTTAAACGTAAACTTCTAAAAAAAGAAATGGAAAGTTTAAAAAAAGATTTGACCAGATAAGGAAACCGTTTCTGTACCTGTTTCATTTAAATTAAAATGGTTAAAAGCAGCATTTTTCTTCTGCACAGTAAAGTTTCAAAGCTCTATTAAGTCAATGTTCAGTTGCAAACTTTGAAAGAACAACCATAGTTTTCTTCAGAGTTACAAACAACCACCCGAGGTGCTCATAGCTCTGAGGTTCTACTGTAAATATCTAATCATCTGTTAAGTTCTTGCTCCCATGACCTACTGTTGAAACGAGTTCCACAGTTTAATCACATGTTGTGTAAAAAAGTGTTTTCTTTCAGAGCTTTTGAATTTCCTACCTTCAATTAAATTGAGTGTCCCCTTGTTCTTGTGACAGGAGACAGTGAGAACAGACACTCCTGATCTACCTTCTCAAGACCACTTTGTATTTTACATATCTTAACATGTTCGTCTTAGTCAACTCCTTTCTAAGGTACAACTTAAAGCAAAGGAAGTGGAGTGATAGAGAAAATAGGTCATTAAGGGTTACACATGTGCATGTGGAGAGGCTGGAATAGCAGTCACAGAACTGAGAGCTGGACAATAGCTCCTGTTCAGAATCATGAAGTGCGCAGCAGATGGAGGGGGAAAAAATGTGACTATGGTCAATTTGATAGCAAGGAAACCAAGAGAGATACAGACTCAGCAGGCCTCAGAAGCATTCCACTCAGTAATGCAATTCTCTGTGGAAATTAATTTGATTGCATACAGCCTTTGTTAATGAGGAGAACTTTACTGCAGTTAGCGTCACTTTTTGCAGCAGTTAATTCTGCATCCTGGGTCAGTTCTAAGTGTTAATGTTCTGCCTTCATTAGCTTGCGGAAGACCCAGAGGAGATGTGCAATTTCTTACTTGTCATTGAACTCCTTCTTGCCAGTGAAGGAGAGGTTGTGAAAAGGAGTCCAGCCCTCCCTTACCTAAAGGTTGGTGGTTCTGAGACAGGCCCAGGAATAAGGAACCTCTTAGCTGCACTGGACCCAATGGAGGTCAAAATACACAAATCATAGAATAATAGAAATGTAGAACTGGAAGGGATCTTGATAATCCACATAGTACAGCCCTTCATACTGAGGCAGAACTAAGTATTATCTTCTAGACCATCCCTGGCAGGTATTTGTCTAACCTGTTCTTAGAAACCTCCACAGCCTCCCTAGGTAATTTGTTCCAGTGCTTAACTACCCTTACAGTCAGGAAGTTTTCCCAAATATCTAACCTAAATCTCCCTTGTTGCAATTTAAGCCCATTACTACTTGTCCCATCCTCAGTGGATAAAGAGAACAATTTATAACAACCTTTTAGATACTTGAAGACTTATCTGAACACTCATCCACAAACCTCAACCGTGAGAAGTTCAAAATCCTTGGCATTAGCTTTAATGGCTTCCTTTTTCTCTGCCTTGAGCTTTTTCCGCTTTCCTTGATCTTCTTGGATTCTCTTCCTTTTCTGGGATCCTTCTTCATGATGCGTCTAAAGCAGATTTTAAGGGGCGGGGGGTGGGGGGGGGGAGAAACAAGAGAATTGGAAGAGATCACTGTTGTGCTCCACAAAAGAAGAGCAAAATTATCAGTCATCCCAGCTTAGGGGGAAATGCTAGAGTTAGGGGTCAGAAGGAAATTCTGTTGCAAACCCTTATGTTCAGTCATATATAGGTCTCTCAAAATTTCTCCCTTTGGGCTGAAACTTAACATATTTGATTAAAGCATAAATACATTTGACCAATTTGAACAAAACCATTCAATGGCTTTTGAGTTAAAATGAGCAGAAAAAGACATTTCCTCCCCTTCTTCCTACGGGAAAAACAACCACCACCACCTTTGAGCCTTCATTTGCAGAGAAAACTCAAGAGCGACTGAGGGCATGTCTGCATTTAAAACGCTGCATCGGAACAGCTGGATCAGTGCAGCTGTAGCGTTTTAATGAAGACGTTCTATGCCAACGGGAGAGAGCTCTCCCGTTGGCACAGTTAATCCAGCTCCCAAAAAGCTCTCCCACCAACGTAGCGCTCTCCACAGGGGATTAGGTCAGTATAACTACATTGCTCGGGGGTGTGGATTTTTCATACTCCTGAGCAACACAGTTATATCGATATAGGTCTACAGTGTAAATCACAACCAAACCTTAAAACCTCAAACTTAGCATGGACATAGACCTGACTCATCAGAGCATTAAGGAGGGAGGTTCTTAATTTTCTGCACAGGAGTAGTCTCATGAAATCAATGGGACTAGTACACCTAAAGTTAAGAACGTGTTTTAAGTGGTTCTTGGATCGGTGCCTGAGCCCTCAATGAGGCAGCTCTACATTGCTAAGTCTTAAACAATTTGGTTTAGAAATAGCAAAATAATTGATATATTAAAATGGGGGGGAGGGGTAGGAGAGGATGTCATGCATCCTGTTCTTTTAGGCACAGAAACATAAAACAAGAGAAACATATTAGATCAAGACTAACAGATGTATTGGAGCATAAGCTTTTGTGGGTGAATGCCCACTTTGTCGGATGCATGTCACATGCATCCGATGAAGTGGGCATTCACCCATGAAAACTTATGCTCCAATACATCTGTTAGTCTTAAAGGTGCCATAGGACTCTCTGTTGCTTTTTACAGATCCAGACTAACATGGCTACCCCTCTGATAACAGATCAAATTAACCCCGGCGTAGCACCACTGAATTCAATGTCCTTACACCAGGGTTGGATTTGGCCCACCACATCTCTCTAGAAGCTCTTACCTCTAAAAGCAGATTACATGCGATCAGACACCACTGAGATATTTCAAAGTTAAACCCTGATCAATTACATTTGATTAATGGTTTGCCATCACATTCACCCAGGGTCAGACATCTGTCAAAAGTCATGAAAATCATGGATTCCATGATGAAGACCAGTCACAAGTACTAAAATGAATGTTGGGGCTCAATCCTGCAGCCCTCACTCAGACAAAGCTGTCATGGTCAATGGGAGTAAGAACTACAGAATTAGGTCTTTACACTAATTGGCAGTGGAATAGCTCTCAGAGAGTTTCATCCATCATGTATGCACAACTCACATCAAATAAGTTATCCTGCTCTATTGGTCGTCTGGGTGCTTTTCCCTCTGAAGGTTTTTTCTGGGTGCCACCTCGAGGGAAGTTTTCTTCCATGGATGCCATGTTTGTATTTCTATGGGGAAAGCAAAAACACAGGAGTGAAATCTGCAATTGTTGTGACATTAGAGTTTAAGTGACAGGAGAAGTAATTATTTTGGAACTAAACAAAGATTCCCTTGGCTTTTTTTGTGAATGACAAATTATATATATATATATATATAATAAAAAAAATGAATGCATCTGGAGGCTTAGAAGACAAAATATAGGCCTCTGAAAACACTTCAATGTACTTGAAAATGACACTTATACACATATTAGGGACACAAGTTGGGTGAGGGGATATCTTTTATTAGACCAACTTCTGTTGGTGAAAGAGACAAGCTTTTGATCTTACCGAGCTCTTCTTCTGGTTATACACCTGTATCAGTCACCAGAACTTTTCCCTAGTATCCTATTCACCCACATTACCATATCAGTCTTCAGTGACAACTGAGAACCTGGTATACCTGACGCTTTAAAGCTTAGAAACTCGCTGAGGAGATTCCTAATAAAGGAATTATCTGCACACTAGTGTGCAACAGGTGAAGCACCATCTCCACAGACAAGTAACAATACATGCCTTCAGACATATTGCCTGGGGCAGTGATCTTGTCAGATCTCACAACCCTAAGCAGTCAGGGCTTGTTTACACTGCAGAGCCTTGGGCAGCATAGCTATGCCAGAAGAGTTGCCCTAGTGTAGTAACAGCATTGCCAGCAGCTCTTCTACTGACATAGCTACACCCCCACTCCCACACAACATTAGCTGAGCCAGCAGAAGCACTCTTGGTGGCATAGATGTGTCTATGGACATGGCCAGCATAGCTACACTGGATAGATGGTGTCATTTTTTGCACCCCTAACTGGCATAGCTAGACCAGCAAAACTTTGTAGTGTGTAGGCCAGGGCTCAAACATAGCAGTACCACAGTAGCTGCAGGAATTGGTGTTGACACGTCAGTGGATGCATGGGTGTAACTAACCCTGTTGAGTCAGTACTGAACCCGCATTTTAGCATTTTGTTGGGGGCCACTGGCTGCCCGAAGTGTCATTTTTTTTAGATAAAAAAAAGTTCCAGACCACTTGTGGTCAATTAAGATGCCACAGCTCTTTCCTTTGCACATGCATAAAGGCTGTCACACAGTATCATAGACAAACTACAATTTAAGTCACTATATTTTACACACATGCCCCCAACATCGCCCCTGCTGCGTCAACTGTATACAGTAACCTTCTTTACTTCCTGTCTAAATTGTTGTTAGGTGTTGTTATGCACATTCAACAGTTCCCCCCCCCCCCAAGTTCATTCCAGAGGCAGCAGCATAATATCGGTGAAAGGATATAATCAAGTATGGGCAAAGTAAATTGCTATACAAATAAGAGCTAAATTCTCTTTACGGCAGAGAAACTAATCTAAAGTACATTACACTCCAGGCAATACCAGACAATGAGAAACAGAAGAAAAAAAACAACAACAGGTCAACGGGACCCGGTGCAATCGAAAAAACTGATCTCTGGGCCACAGAACTGGCAGACCTCCCCACCACCACTACTACTACCCCCCTACCCTATTATGAGAATCGTTCGTCCCCAGCTCGGCGGGGAAACCAGCTCCCAAACCGAGAGGATCGCAGCCCAGTGACCCTGCGGGGGGGAATGGGGGGGGGGGGGGCTCAGTCCCCTCCCGGTCTCCAGGAGCGGCTACTTCAGGGCTCCAGGAGGGGACGCAATGCATGTGCTCCCTTCCTCGGCAAGCCAGCGGCGCTGAACTCGGCTGCTGGCAGGGGAGGAGAAGGAGCCAGGGGGATACTGCCCAGGGACTCCCCTGCCGGGGGCAGCGCCAGGCTCCCTTCTTCCCTTTCCCCCCGGCCGGACCCGGGCCCCGGGGTGGTTCCCTTCGCTCCGTGCTGGGCCATGGGGCTGGAGCCGGCGGGCTGGGGAGGTTCCCTTCCCTCCCACACGGAGCTGGGCCCTGCCGGGCTCCTACAGCCCCTGGCCGGACTCCCTCACCTCCTTCAGCAGCACATGTGGGACACCATCGCCATAACCCGGAAGCACTACCGGGGAGCACAAGGTCAAGCGGAACCCTCTTACTCACAATGGGGAAAGCGGGCCGAGACGCCTAGTAACCAACCAGCCAATCCAGGCGGAGCATCGACTGATGGGCATCGACCGAAGCCAATCCGCAATCCCCATTTACGTCATCTCTAACGTAAGGACTCTGTTGTCCAATCAGGAGAGACATCTATGCTCGGAGGCAGGATTTCCCAGCGCCATCTTGCCTGTGGACTTGGAGTCGGCGAAGGGCACGGAGCGGCTATTGTAGGGGAGCGCGTGGCAGGTGGGGGCGGCTTCGGGCCGTGATCTTGACCCGTGTGGGGAGCGCTGCCCGCGGGGCCGGGGCCGCTAACGCCTCTCCCCAGCGGGGGCCGCGGGCGGGCGGGCGGTT